GAGAGGAAGGAAGGAAGGAAGGAAGGAAGGAAGGAAGGAAGGAAGGAAGGAAGGAAGGAAGGAAGGAAAGAAGGAAGGGACAGTACCAAATACTCCCTGCCACCAAGATATCACTGCCTTGCACTGATTAAGATTTTTTTTTTGTTTGGTCCAATAATTATGTCAATGGAAGAGGGAGTCCTCAAAGTCTACACGAAGCCAAAAGCTCCTCTCCTGATAGTATTGAGAGTACCCAGAGCCCTGGGTAGGAATGCTTATTTAGAGCAGAGAAGGGAGCCACCCTTTCAAGAGAAGCCAGGAGTCTGGTTACACTTGTTCCTCTACCAGGAAGCCCCTCCCATTAGCCACCTGACTGAAGTCCCAGAATTGTCTAAAATGTAGGTATGGGGATTTTCTGGCATCTTGAGCGGATATGCTAGGGCTTCTTCTTCCAGCTGAGCTGTGTTCAACCCAGGACCAGAGGTACACAACCACTAATCCTCCCCAGTTAGTCTTCCCCACTCCCTCTGCCCCCTCCCCCAGTAAACAAATACCCAGGTGGCAGAAAGGCAATAGTAGGAACGGAAACCCCGGGGAAGCTGGAAGACCCCAGTGGGTTGAGGACACATGCCAACACAAACAACTCATCTACCCAGTTTGTCAACCTCTGGGAGACTCTCCCCCAAACACAATCACCAGACCTATGGTGGGTGGGGGAGGGGGACACCACGGGAATGTCTCTTGGGAGCCATAGGAAGCCGACCCCAAGCACTGGAGCAGACTTCCCTGGGGGCTGGCGGGGGTGGGGGGGCAGGTCATGCTCTTGGAGAAGAGAGAACCGGCTGTCTGCCTTCGGGTGCAGTCACTGCGCAAGCCCAGCCTCCGCGCCCCCCTCCCCGGCCCCGCCCCACGGTGCAGGTGGATCTGCCCGGTGCTGGGAAGAGCAGCCAGGGTGGGAAGAGGGGCGACGCAGGCAGAAGGAGAGGGCGAAGAGCAGATCGCTGCCCAGTCACCGCGCGCAGAGGGGAGGACACTGGCCTCCCCTAGGGCGGTCTTTCCAACGCGGGGCGCACTAATGCAACCAGCAGTGCCTCGCTTCTTATCACTGAATCCGCACCGTCGTGGACAGGGGGCTCCCCGTGCGGGAGGAGCGCCCGGGTCCTGGGCCACACCGGGAGGGCAGCGCAGCAGGTGTCCGCAGCAGGGCTACCTGCCTGCCACACCCTGCCCAGAACCCGCCCCCCCACCCCCCAGGGAGGGTGTGAATGTCATCCCAGAGACCCGTTTTTCGTGGCCCCGGGGTTCTGCGTGCGGCCGGGACCAGCAAAGGAAGCTGCAAGCCCGGGCAGCGACGTGGGGCTGAGGAGGCGCCTCCTGGAGGGCACGCCGGAGGGCCCCCAGGCGCTTCAGGCACCCCGCGGTTGCACCACAAGCTTCCTGGATGAAACGACACGTGGCCCGGGGGCCCCCCACAAGGGTTTCCTCTGGGCTCCAGTGGGCCCGGCCTCTCCGCTGACCTCCACCCCGCCCCGCCTGGCCCGACCCTGGCCACCTCCACCTGCGCGATCGCCCGCGCGCACCGGACTCACCCCCGCGGATCCCCACCCCCCTGCGCCGCCCTGCCCGGGTCCCCAACACCCTCCAGCCTGCTACGGTCCCGGGACCCCGCGTTGTCCCCGCGCCCTCACCCCGGCAACCCCAGGCCCGCACTAACCCCCGTGGCCGCGCTTCAGTCTCAGGCTGGCTCGCAGGCGGCGCCCGAACCCATCCATGGCCCCGCGAGTGCCCGGCGCCCGCTCCCGGGTCCGCGCCGCCCCGCCCCCCGGCCGTGACCTCCGCGGGCCCGGAGACTTTCGCTTTCACGCGGGAATGGGTGGCGGGGACAGGGCCGGGGCGGGGCAGCGCACCTTCCGGGCGGCCGCCCAGCCTCCCTGGCGCACCTGGGAGGGCTCGCTCGGCCCCGAGCCGCTGGCAGGGCTGCGCCCCGTGCCCGGTGCCAGAGGGCGCTCGACGCGCGTCCGCGAGGGGCGGCGCCACCACGCGCCCACCCTCCAGGAAGCGCCACTTTCGGGATCCCCACAGTCCCGGAGCATGCAGGATCGTGCCTGAAGGCGTCCTCACCTCCAAGGGCGCTTTCCGGGGAGCCCCAGACGAACCCCAGAAGCTCAAGCAAACTTCTAGTCCTCCACACCCATCTGCTCCCTTTACCTCTCTCCCTACAACTGTGTTGGCCTCTGGCGGTCTCCACGGTCTCTCCGATAGTGGATTGTCTTCCCACTAAAGGTGCATTAAGATGTGGACCTTCACCTTGCCTTTCATTCAGCCGTTGTTCTTTGACAGCTCAATAAGCTCTAACCTTGGTGACGTGACGCATGCTTGCAGCTACTCTGGAGGCTTGAGATTGGAGGATTGAGGTTGGAAGCCAGCAGGGACAGGAAAGTCCCTGAGATTCTTATCACCAGTTAATCACTCATCTCTCTCTGTCTCTCTGTCTCTCTCTGCCTCTATCTCTCCCTGCCTCTTTCGCTCTGTCTCTCTTTGTCTCTCTCTGTCTCTGTCTCTGTCTCTCTCTCTCTCACACACACACACACACACAACCAATTGGAAATGGAGCTATATAGCTCAAGTGGTAGAGAACGAACAAAGCTAAAAGACAGCATCCAGGCTCTGTTCAAGCCCCAGTACTGAAAAAAGGAAATAAAATAAACAGATGGTAATCTCCCTACCCTGAACTGGATGTGCGCCTCAGGTTGTGGAAAACTTTCTGGTTGCTGTTATCAAACGAATTTAAGGGACTTACAGCAAAACTAAGCTCTACTATCCAGTACCAAAGCAGACTTGCAGTCTCTCCTCCCACGCTCACCTTCACTGACCACCTAAACTCATTCCGACTTCAAACTCCAGATCCACCAAGATATAGGGCCAAGCACCACTTGCTCCAGCAGAATCCTCTGCTGACAAATCCTCTCCCTCCCAGGACAAGCTCTGTAAGGGATGGGTGGAAAGATTCACCTGAAATGTCACTATTCACTAGTCTTAGTCTCCATTTCAGGCATAGGAGTCAGTGGGAAGATGAAACTCTGGCAGAAAAACGTCTGGGAGCTGCGGTAATGACCCTCAGACCCACAGCCCTTTTTCTTCTCCCCACAACCACAGACTGAAGGGGTGCCCAGAAGTTGGGAAGACAGCCCTAGTATTAAACTGTCTACTCTTAGCCTAGAGGTTCTAAAAATTGCCTTTACACTGGGCGTAGGCAATTTTTACTTAATTATACAGCTTTTTTTTGTTTGTTTATTTCTGCTTTTTATGCCAGTACTCAGGCCTGAACTCAGGGCCTGGCTGCTGTACCTTAGCATTTTTTGCTCAAGGCTAGCACTCTACCACTCGAGCCACAGCTCCACTTATGGCATTTTGGTGGTTAATTGGAGATAAGAGTTTCAAAGACTTTCCAGCAGAGGCTGGCTTTGATGCATAATCCTCAGAGCTCAGCCTCCTGAGAAGCTAGAATTACAAGCATGAGCCACCAGAGCCTGGCTGCAAGTTTGTTTCAGTTCCCTGTTCTCAGGATTACTGCACATAAGGACAGACATAGCACTTCCTCAAGAGCCTTCCCTTATTGAGACCCATGCCCCATGTATAATGGTGTACCAGCATGAAAGATTTCTCTAAGTGGTAGACCACTATGGGTTGTAATTGTCCACATATTTTATGGTTCTCCCAACCAAATTACTTTCATCCTTTCAAATGAAGAGGAGCAGGGATGAAGCTCAGCAGTAAAGCACTTTCCTGGCATGCATAAAACCCTGGGGACCCCTTAATCAATCAACCAACCAACCAATCAATCAATCAATAATAGAGTCAGATGAGTCATGGTACTCACTTGCCATTAGAGTCCATGGGAACCCAAACTACTATTTTTTTTTGCAGTTATACACATTTGTTTCCCTTATAGCTCCTGTTCTCTGCACCATTATGCCTAACTTTGACATTGATCCTATTTTCAACTCCATGATGATAGCTGAGATCAGGGATAAGGTTTGTTAAGACTTTGCTGAGGAATTAAGTCTTTGTGATGGAAGAAGTATGTTAGAAAGGAGAACTCAAGCCAGGTATGGTAGTTACACCCATGATTCCAGCTACTGGGGAAACTGAGGTAAGAGAAGCAAAAGTTTGAGGACTGTATTTAGTGAGTATTTAGTGAGTTTGAGGACAGACTGGCCAACTTGGTGAGACCCTGTCTCAAAATTTGAATAAAAATATTTTTAAAAGAATAAGGATGTAACTATTAGAGAACTTGCTCAGTAAGAGAAAGAGAAAGAAGAGGAGAGTAGAGGAAAAAAGGAGAGGAGAGAGGAGGAGGGGAGGGAAGGGGAAGGAGGAGGGGAAGGGATGGGAGAGATAACTTGCAGTACAGTTTTACTGCATCTTGGGGGCTGTGCAGGGTCTTGTCTTGGAGATTTATAAGCCCCTATGCAGCAGTGCCCACCTGACCTGACTTGAATGGAAATACCGTCAAGCCCAGCCCTGCCTCAGTAGTCACATGATGTTCATTATGTTCAAGTTAACATCATGGACTTATATTCTTCTGGCAGTGACACCTAAATATCAGCAACGAAAGCAACAAGTCCATCAATGCAATCACAGCATCAATAGCTCGATGAGAGGCCTAGGCTATCTATACTCCTTGGCTTCTGATTTCCTGTGAGGATCAATGTGAACAATAAGCTATGCTTGTGCTAAGAACAAGCAATGACATCCAGGACTAGAGAAGGACATTTCAATATTGGAGACAAAGATGACCTTTTGCATTACTACACGGAACTCCTGGAGCCATGGTGCAAATCTCCCTCCTCCCCCTCCCTTTCCTACCATTCTCTCTTTCCCTTCTCCTTCCTTCCCTCTCTCCCTCTTTCCCTGTCTCTGTCTCTGTATCTGTCTCTCTCTGTCTCTCTCTCTCTTCCCCACTATATTTGTTAGCCAATACATTCTTGATTGATTTTTGGGGGAGGGCAGTACCCATACGTCTTTGTGTTTGCTGGTCTCATCTTGATATTTTGTCCCTCCCTCCTTAAACATCCTTCTTCCTCTTCCCATTCTTTCAAAGTGCCAATTTCCTTTTGTTCCTAATAGTGTGTGTGTGTGTGTGTGTGTGTGTGTGTGTGTGTGTGTGTGTGTGTATGCCACAACTGAGGCTTGAACTCAGGGTCTTGTGCTCTCGTTTGCCTTTTTCACTTAGGGCTGGTGCTCTACCACTTGAACCACATGTCTATTCCTGACTTTTTGCTGGTTAATTAGAATTAAGAGTCTCTTAGACTTTTCTGCTCAAATCTCAGCCTCCTAAGTAGCTAAGATTACAGGCATGAACCACCAATGCCCTGTGCCAGCATTTTATTTTATGCCTGTCCTAGGGCTTAAATGCAAAGCCTCAGCACTGTCCCTGAGCTTCTTTTGCTCAAGGCTAGTGCTCTACTACTTGAGTCACAGCACCATTTCCTGCTTTTTCTGAGTAGTTATTGGAGATAAGAGTCCCACAGACTTTCCTGTCCAGCTCACTTTGAACTTTGATCCTCAGATCTCAGCATCCTGAGTAGCTAGGATTATAGGGATGAGCCACGGGTGCCTGGCTTCTGTCCCAGCATCTTGTACAAGCAGCTACCTCTGCCTCTCATCCCACTGCCTTCTAGTCACATTTTTTTTTGTAATGGTGCTCAGGTTTTGAACTCTGTTCATTGTGATCAGGTATTCTTTTTTTGGGGGGAGGGGTCCAGTCGTGAGCCTGAACTCTGGGCCTGGGCGCTGTCCCTCAGCTCTTCAGCTCAAGGCTAGCGCTCTACCACTTGAACCACAGTGCCACCTCCGGCTTTTTTTCTGCATATGTGGTGCTGAGGAATTGAACCCAGGGCCTCATGCATGCAAGGCAAGCGCTCTACCACTGAGCCACCTTCCCAGCCCCTATCAGGTATTCTTGAGCAATGTCCCTGGCTCAGTTTTGTGTTATTTTTCAGATAGGATCTGGTGATTTTGCTTCAGAGCCAATCCAATTTATGCCTTCCAGGTAGCTGAGACAGCAAATAAGCATCATTATATCTGGACTACCTGTTGACTTGGGACAGTCTCACTCGTTTTTTGCCCAGGCTGGCCTCCAATGTGCCCCTCCTGGTAGCTGGAATTATAGGCATTAAGTCACCATACCTGGCTTTTGATTCATCTTTTATATCTTACTTAAATGCCTGTCATGAGAAGACTTCTTTGATTTCTGCTCTCATTTAGGCCAGAATTTCCTGTTGCGAGTTCAGATCACACTGTCTCCTCTTTTCTTCTCCCTCTCCCTCTCCTTCTCCACTCCTCCTTTGCTCTCTTCTCCCCTCCAGTCTTGCCCTCTTCTGTGCTCTTCTCCCCTCCCTCCTCTTCTCTTCTCTCTTCTCTTTCTTTTGCAGTATAGAAATGGAACCCAGGATCTTATCCATGCATGCATCCTAGGCAAGCATGCATTCAGTCCACAGGCTAGACTTTTTGTTGTTGTTGTTGGTTGTTGTTAGTTGTGGGGCTTGAACTCTGGGCCTGGGCACTGTCCCTGTGCTCTTCAGCTCAAGGTGAGTGCTCTACCACTTGAGCCACAGCACCACTTCCAATTTTATTTTATTTTTTACCAGTCCTGGGACTTGAACTCAGGGTCTAGATGCTGTCCTTGAGCCTCTTTGTGCTCAAGGTTAATGCTCTACCACTTGAGCCACAGCACCACTTCTGGCTTTTTCTGAGTAGTTTATTGGATATAAGAGTCTCATAGACTTTTCTGCTAGGGCTGGCTTTGAACCACAATCTTCAGCTCTCAGCCTCCTGAGTAGCTAGGATTATAGGCCACTGGCACCCAGCTAGAATTTAGAATTTGAAGTGTCAATAGAAA